ATTTTGGTCGATTTACTCGACCAAGAATCTTGCTCGGTTAATCGAAAAATTTGATCGATCAATTGCACCACTACCTTTCATTTTCATACACACGCCTCTCTCTCTCACACACACACACACACACACACACACACACACACACACACACACTCACACACACCCGAGTTGCTCCTCGAATCTGATCTGGACAAAAAACAGTGTGGTAATTTGAATGCCAACGCAATGTCAGTCGTGAGTGGAATCATCGCCATTCGGTGCCTTACCGACTGGCATGGGCGATCATTGACCGATGACCTCCACTTCCCTCTGTCCTGCGTTGTAGTTGGAGCGATGGTGTCTGTCGTTCTTGCTGTTCCCAGCCATGTTGTTAACTCGTCCAGTATTTTTTCCTTCTGTCTGCCTCTGCCTCTCTTTCCATAGAACTTGCCCGTTGTTACAATACATGTATTATTTCCCCAATGCTTCTATCGTTGTTTTGCAGCTGCTTGACTACCTGAGAGGGAGAGTATGTTCAATCCATCGCCACCACCTTCTTCGTACCTCATCTTTGACTGGGATCTGTCTTGTTTTCCTTAAACTTTCTCATTGGTGAACCTGTCCAGTTTATCTGATCCTCAGTAACTTTCTTAGTCACTTGTTCAAGAATAAGTGAGAGGAATATTATTAACATTAAATAGTTTATGGTAACCTAGTTTAAACACGTACACGTTTAGGAACACTACCGTAAAATTACACACTCAATACCCACACATACAAACACACAATTTTACAATTTTAAAATCTTTTAATTCTGTCAATCAGTCTGTTGTCTGTCACTGGCCACTTTTTTAAAAACTGCACTAACCATGTAGCCTACATCTCGCCATTCGCTCTTTTACTCAACTCTATACATGTAGTACAGTCTATTGGCTACCCTTTCTGCCTACCACTACCACCCTTTCCCCTTTGCTTTCCCTTCTTGGTTTCTTTCATTATTTTTCAACCGAATGAACTCTAGGCCTAACTCTTTGCCTTGGCGAACAAGAACAATGATGTTTACAGAGCTTGGGGTACAGGTAGTAAACAAGACTTCATAATTGCGTGTGCTGTTGATGTAATTATTGTCGGTTTTTTACAATGGCCATGGGAAGGGGATGAGAATAACCATCTGGACAGCACAGCCTGTCTTAATTGTTGACATCATGCGCTCCTCATAAAACAAACATATCAATCAATCTGGCGTTAGTTAAAATACGGATGCCCGTATTATTTGCCTTTCTTTAAAAAGAACAAGGAAAAAACAAAACAAAAAGTGTGTGTGTGTGTGTGTGTGTGTGTGTGTGTGTGTGTGTGTGTGTGTGTGTACGCGTGGTGAAACACCAAACCAATGTTCCAGGATCTGGACAATAAAGATATGTATCATATTCACCTTATCTTATCTTATCTTATCTTATCTTTTCCTATTTTATCTTATCTTGGATTCGATTCTTGTGTGGAGATGGTTTTTGTCTACAACATGAATGTACTATAAAGTCTATTCTGTCTGTCTCCTGGGATGTTTTATCTCTCCCAGCTCG